CCTTCGTTCATATTCTCCATGCGCTTACCGTCTTCGTGCGCTCTCCCCCTTCCTGGCGCGCCAATTGTTCGTGCCAAGATACTTCCAAACGCTTATCCTCCGCTTTCCCACTTATCCGTCACTCAGGCGCCTGGAAACTGCACCCACAAGCGCCTAAGGGCCTTGGTCGACCCGTTAGCACTCCGAAGCTTAAGTCAGTGCCCTTTTCTAGAGAGATAAGTGTACAGAAATAGTTTAGTGAGAGAAGCCAACCTGCGTAAATGCTATCGTCTGCCCCTATTTATACTCACCGAACCCGAGGTTGATCTCCGCCACGTCACCTCCCACATTCAATGCTCTGCGCCCCCAGACAGCTAACCGCCCTGTCAGACTCCTGACATCTGACTGGCATTCCACAGTTCTGCCAGGCTCCTGACACACGACAGGCGCCCGCAGGCCGTGGTCCACCATCCAGTTGATCGCCACCTGGCTTTTGATACTCTATGTGACAGCTAACCGCCCTGTCAGACTCCTGACACCTGACAGGCGCCCCAGGCCGTGGTCCACCAGCCGATTGGCCGCCACCTGGCCCTTGATACTTTACTCTTTTGGGCTTTGTCCCCTAGCTCGCTGGGTAATACCCCAACAACTCTCATTAGTCCGCTCTCTGGTTTCATTATAATACATACATGCTATTGCTAGCTACCTGCTGCACAACGTGCTGTGATTTCTTTCCACTTCTTTAATGTTTTATTCTTTCTTCTTATTATTATACATTTCTTATTTATGTTATTTCGTATTTTATTTTATGGAAGCAGAACAAACAAATGCTAAAAAAAAAATTAGCAGTGAGCCGAGATACAATGTATTTTCATCTTGTTTGTTGTAGTTTCTCTTCTCTTGCAAGTTGCATGTAGTGGTGGAAAATAATTTGATCCGGTTTAACCTGAGTTGCATTTTGTTCAAATTTATATATGGTAATTGCATTGTAGTGAATCTGGTTTTCACCAGAAAACCTGGCGAATTCCTAGCCCTACTTGCTTGTATTAATTCTCATTTCTCGGCATGTTGTTGTGTCCGACTGCTTTAACCCAGGTTAGGTTGGATATATGAAAAAAATTATTATGTTGTTAATACATTTATAAGTTATATGAAATCTCATCTAATATAATGGGTAATAATATTTAACATTATACCAAAATAACATGACGTACTTGGATCCAACATATAATGAAAATTCACACACACTTATATAACATCTATATTCAAATGTTCAACCAAGAGTTCCAGAAATTGGGTTAGGCGAAAAAAATTCGAAAATAGGCGCATTTCTCAAACCAAAGAAAAAAATGAAACAACTTAACCTCCAACCTGGTACCTGGACGACCCGACAAATGTGTACGGCCCATTTTTCTCACAGAATCAAGGTAAAAAAGGATCAATTGGCGAGTCGAGTTGCAAGTTGACAACCTTGTGGAATATACATATTCTTTCTCGGTAGGGATATCAATCTTGTAAAATAAAATTAAGTGCCTCTTTCACACACCATGCAGATATCTCATTAAATCCATAAATATTGATTACCGGCTCCAACAATGATTTTCCATCATTGCAATATTCAATTGCCATTTGAAATCTAACGGATGATACTAATTAATGATTACCGGCTCTCTGATCGCCTATTATAACAAAAAATTGTTTTGAATAGATTATGAAAATGATTTGGCTTCCAATTAATTCCTTTTAGCAAATTTCGTTCCCATTTCGGAGGAATGGAGAAAAAGAAGAAAAGCAAAAGCACAAAAGAACAATTAGCAAGGTCAACAATTCTCCGTTAAAAAAAGTTTAAAAATCAGTCTTCCGCACATAGTTAAGATGACGTGTCATTTTACTATGTTTTGTTTTAAATAAACAATTCATTGACGTGCACGTGGTTTACACTCTGGCGCGTAGATCTCCCTCGTCAAAAATGGCATTAGGCCAAGTCCAATGCTAGCCACCAAATTTTCAGCCTGTTTGGATAGACAAAAAACTCAGGAATTGGAATTTCATTTTCAATTCCAGTTCCATATTTTATGATTGGAAGGATAAGAAGGTTGAGAAATGAATTCCATTTGGGCTAAGTTTTGGGAATTACAATTCCTATCAAAAGTGATAGGAATTGTGTTTATGAAGATGGAATTAGTGGGTCTCATCACTATTTATTATTATTTTATTAACCAACTATCACACTACTCTCTTTCTCTATCATTCATATTTCATTTCCCAAGATAAAATAAATATATTATATTATTAATTATTGTTAAAAGTGCAATTCATTTCTTTAGTTGGAGGAATTATACCAAACACTAAAATTGGAAATGGAATTCTATAAAAATAGGAATTGGAAATAGAATTCCATTTCCATTTCTTCTTGAATTGTATCCAAACAGGCTGTTTGGGATCTTCGTCCCTAAATTTAAAGATTCTTCCCATTTTTATCATTTTTACTTCAATGCTACCATCTCTAAATTTGTGGATTTTCATTTTTTTTATTAGTTTTTTTACTTAAAAGTGTACTTATGATCATCTTAATCAATTTTATTCATGTTAATTTTGATATAGTTCGTCATCATTTTTAAATACAAATCTTTCGATAGAATTTTTTTAAATTTCGACACCAAATTGTTTTTTATAAAAAATAATTAACCTAATTTTTCTTTATACACAATACTTGAAAATGATAAACCTAAAGGTGATTCCCTAATTTTTCATCTTTAAAGCACTAATTAAAATTTTAACCTTTAATTAAACAAAAAAAAAAGATTGTGGCGGGCACAACCGCCAGCCCGGGTGGTGTGCCGCACGGGCGCGGGAGAGCAGCTCTTCCGCAGGCGTGCGGCGCACCGCCCGGGCTGACGGTTGTGCCCGCCACCACCCCTCCCAATCGCCAAAAATGCAGGGATCGGCATTCCCTTCGCCAAAAATGGAGACCCAAATGGCAATTATTGCCATTAATAGCGATTTGGGCATAAATGGCGACTCCATTGGAGTCAGCCTTAGCCTTTCAAGATGAGAATAAGGGCTTGTTTGTTTTGATCTACCGCCGCAATCTGATTATTTTAATGAAGGGTTAATACATTAAATTGACCTCAATTTTCTACTTCGACTAATGGTTTATGAAATACTTATGTTGGAACTATGCACTATCTAGATTAATTTGGTCGAACTCGTGAGTTGTTCGTCAATCTAGTCAGTTAATATCATGCTTAATAACTAATGCGTTAAGTCATTACCATGTCAGTTGAAAAATACTATAAAAAAGCACAACTTCAATTATTTCCCCTAATATCATTTATTGAAATTTTTAACCAACAAAATAAAATAGAAGCCCATATCACTTCAAACCATACTCACAACGTGACTAATCGTTATCATAACTCGTTTTATAAAATGAGATAATGAGCCAAATAGTTTCTTCTCTCAACAATTTACCCAAACAACCTATTGGCCATTATAATAATAAGCTTTGTTGTACTATCACTTCTTATTGTCATAAACCAATCGATCTAATAACTCGAGTTGTTGGGAAAATGTTATTATATAGGATTGATAATCGGTTCGGTTATAACCGGAACTGTTTAGTCTATTCTCGGCTAACCGTTAAGCACTTTATTCTTACCGTTAACTGCATGGTTTAAATTAGTCGGTTAGCGTAACAGTATAGTCTGTTCTCGGTTATTTCGTCGGTTAACCGGATAACCGTCAACCAAGTAATTCGGTAAGGTTATACCAAAATAACCGATCGATAACCTAACCAACAAAAGATCTCCTTTTTCTGCTATGAATTTTTTTATAATTCTTCATTCATACGCATGTGTTCTTTTCATAAATTGTTATAATTGAATAAAAAATAATTTAACATAGATATATTTCAATACATAATCAACTGAATCCAACATAGGTACACAATAATATCATTCTATCGTCAAACTTTATTAAAGAAGCATACAACGATAAGAGACACAACAACAATTACTCAACTCGTAAACCCCGCCAGATTACGTGGAAGCTTAATGTTATTGATTGTTGTCGAGCAACTATTCGCAAATCTGACTTTCTACTGAGCTCCTTCTAAACCTCTTTCTTCTAAATTTTCTCATTTTAGACTAAGTCACTATCACAGCCTATATTTACGACTCGTGAAGTTCTATATTTTCGGTCCTAACTATAAAGATGGTCGTAATCGGTTAGTCGATTAACCGTTTAACCATCAGTTATTAACCGTATAACCGCTTAGTTATTAGCTAAATTTGGCTACCGGGAACCGACCATTTACTATTTAATCAGTTATCGATATAATCGTTAAGCATCGATTCTTGTTCAGTTATCGGTTACACTGTTAACGGAATAACCGTTTACCAGCCCTATTATTATAGATCTTATATCACTCTCTTACACGCCTCTCAAACGAAAGCCAACTCACGGGATTGAAATTTGTAGAGGCCCATCATATCTTGTGCTTTAATCAACTGTTCATATTGGGGATCGTGTAGATTCAAACACACGACCACTTGACGAAACCAGCTCTGATACCATGTCATAAACCAATTAGTCTCAATAATTCGACTTATTGAGACCAACTGGTTTATGACACTTATCTTATGTTGTATTTTAGGAAATAATTTAAACACAAGTTATGAACATGCCATTATGTCATTGTCAAAATGGAAATATAATAACATTTTTTCCAAAACTTTTTTCATTTAATTGCTTTCCATAGTTTTTTCTTTAAATAATTATCTCATGTTAATACAATTACTAGTAGTGTGCTTGTTCATTGACAATACAAAGAGTACAACCTTCACACCCATGGCCATGACTTGTACTGTTATTCTTGTTGACTGAATAGAGCACCAGAGCAGTACCCATTACCATTACAAAAACTGCCTCCCCAAACACGGCCTTAAAGGACCTGAAACTCACTGGCAGCTTCAAAACTCCGTTTCCTCTCTCTCTCTCTCTCTCTCTACTACATATAAATGAAAACGCAGTCTCTCTCTAGATTTCCACCTCCGCCATCCCCCTTCTCTCCCATTCCCTCTCTAGAAACAAAGACCAGGCCAAATGAAGCAGCCCCCGCCCGGCGGAGCCCACCAACACCACCGCCTCCGCCGCCGTCATCAGCACGCCCCTTTTCAATGAAGAGCGCACCCTCCCCTGCTTTTCTCCGCTCCACCGTCGCCGCCGTCGTCATACTTTTCTGCGTACCGTTACTCTCCCATGCCCTGGGATCCGGCTCCACCCTCGCCGTCATCTCCGGCTCCCCTGCCGCCTGCGGAATCGTCTCCAATCAGGCTACCCAGAGCATCGTTTGTTTCAGACCACCCGGCGGCAACAGCGGCGGCTCTCTGCCACCAATCGTAGCGCTTCAACCCAACATCTCCTTCTCTTCGATCTCCGGCGGACAGGATATTTTCTGCGGAGTCCGTTCCGGCGGCTCCGCTCTGCTCTGCTGGGATACATTCTCGCCCGACAACAATTCCGCCATTCCCAACAGCGTCAAGCGAATCTATTTCAGCGCCTCTGTTTTGTTGCAGAGCGTTTCCGTTGGGGGTGATCAAGTTTGCTCGACGACGGCGGCTGTTGGGGATTCAGATTCGAATTCCGGTACGGTGAGATGTTGGAGAGGGGATGAGAGGTTTAGAACCCAATTGCCCGGGGATAGATTCAGGGCAATTTCATCGGGGTACGGGTTTTCTTGCGGAATTTCGGCTAACGGGAGCAGAATTCGGTGTTGGGGAAGCGATCCGATTGCACAGAGAATCGAAATGGGATTTGCGAACATGTCGATGTTGACTGTTCAAGCTGGCGGGTCTCACGTATGCGGAGTGAATTCGAATGGATTTGTAGTCTGCAGGGGAGACAATTCCTCCGGGCAGCTCAACTCTCCCCTGAATTCGCTGCCTCTAGAGTATTCACAGTTGGCGCTGGGAGCCAATCACAGTTGCGCCCTTCGTTGGAGCAATGGTTCAGTGGTTTGTTGGGGTGGAAATGGTGGGATGGTGGTCAATGGGATTGAAGGAATCTTCTTCGAGTCTATCGTCCTTGGGACGAATTTTCTTTGCGGCATTTTGTCGAACAACTTGTCGACAATCTGTTGGGGACCCGGATGGCCTTCGAATTCGAATTCAGAGCCCTATCAGATCCTTCCACTGCCACCGATTCTGCCAGGGCCTTGCATCCAATCTTCTTCCTGCGACGAATGCGGCGTGTACGAAGATTCTCAGAACTGGTGCGGCGATTCAGGGGTGATTTGCAGGCCTTGCGGGTTCAATGCTTCGATAGAGGCATCGCCTCCGCCGCCATTCCTTACATCGCCGTTGCCACCTCCTCCATCATCATCATCATTCAGTAATGGTTTATTGTCGTTTGCCGTAGTCGGCTCCGTTGGAGGTTTGGCAGGCATATGCACATTATTTTACTGCCTGTGGACAGGAGCCCGGAAAAAAGTCCACAACTCCGTCCAACCCACAATCACCAGAGCAGACTCAAACAACGACAACGGTGGAGGATCGAATACCTCAAACAACATCGGCGGCGGAGGAATCATCATCACCTCAAGATCCTCAACCTTCCGGCGGCAGAGCTCCAGAGCAATGAGACGCCAAAGGAGCGGGACTTCATCCGAGCACGCCGACCCCCGAGCCGAGGAATTCGCCCTCTCGGAGCTCGCCGCCGCCACAGACGGATTCTCAACAGAGAACAAAATCGGCGCCGGTAGCTACGGCGTCGTTTACAGAGGCAAGCTCGCCGACGGCAGGGAAGTGGCGATCAAGAGAGGCGAAACGAGCAAGAAGGCGAAAAAGTACCAGGAGAAAGAGAACGCGTTCGAATCGGAGCTGTCCTTCCTCTCCCGCCTCCACCACAAGCATTTAGTAAGGCTCGTCGGATACTGCGACGACGGAGGTGATGAAAAGCTTCTGGTGTACGAGTACATGAAAAACGGCGCTCTGTACGACCACCTCCACGACCGGAACAATGTCGCGAAACCGAGCAGCTTGATCAATTCGTGGAAGATGAGGATCAAAATCGCGCTGGACGCAGCCAGAGGAATCGAGTACCTGCACAATTACGCCGTCCCGCCGATCATACACCGGGACATCAAATCGTCGAATATTCTTCTAGACGGGAATTGGGTGGCCCGGGTGTCGGATTTCGGGTTGTCGTTGCTGGGACCTGACCCGGAAATGGGGTACCGGCGGCCGGCAAAGGCTGCCGGCACGGTGGGGTACATTGACCCTGAGTACTACAGCTTGAACGTGCTGACGGCGAAGAGCGATGTGTACGGATTGGGGGTGGTGTTGCTGGAGCTGTTGACGGGGAAGCGGGCGATATTTAAGGGCGACGACGGGGAAGGGACGCCGACGAGTGTGGTGGAGTACGCGGCGGCGCGGATCGCCGGCGAGGAACTGTGGGGGATACTGGACGGGAGGGTGGGGCAGCCGGATGTGAACGAGGCGGAGGCGGTGGAGCTGGTGGGGTACACGGCGATGCACTGCGTGAGCACCGAAGGGAAGGACCGGCCGACGATGCCGGACATTGTTGTGAATTTGGAGAGGGCGCTGGTGCTTTGCGAGGGCAGCCATGGGAGTATCTCTAGCGGCGCAATCTCCATTGTTTCCGAGTGAATTGGGGGATTTTTTTTGTGGTTGATATATGATAGTTTTGGGAAATTGGAGGATTAGTTAAGATAGATTATAAAAGTTTGGGGTGGAATAGCATAACAGCGGATTGTACTTAACCTGAGAGCCATCTGCAATCACATTTGTTTGACGTCAACGGGGCTTCGCCCACAACAGCTTTGTAGTTATACCTTCGGGAACATTAACGGACCTCCCTTGAATTCAAACCTATGATTTGCAACTCCCAAGCCTTTATTGTCGCGACAATTTTACCGTTATACTATCTTACCTTTGGTTGAGATTCATCTTAGAGCCTCGGATTTGATTAATTGTTGAATTCTTCCGATCAGAGTTCTTTTTTGGTGGGTGACCCGACCTGGGTCCTTTGGTTGGTGCTCTTTTTAGGGATAATACTTTTGTTTGGCCTGAACTATACACATACTTTCTACTTTGGCCCGTGGTATTGAAAATTGCTATTCTGGCCTGAACTATGTAGCAAACTTCCTCATTTGACCCGGAGGCGGGTTTGACCGTCAAATTAGACGGTCAAACCTGTTGACCGTTAGTCAATGTCCACCTCACCTGCCACGTCAGCTTTGAGGACATACAAAATTATTTTTTTATTTCTGAATTTTATTTTCTTTTGATTAATAAAAATAATAAATCAAAAAAAAATTAAAATAACAAAAAAGGGCCCATTTTTAGCAAATGGCAAGAAAAAAAATTCAGAAAAAAAAAATATTTTTTCTGTCCTCAAAGCTGACGTGGCAGGTGAGGTGGACATTGACTAACGGTCAACAAGTTTGACCGTCAAATTTAACGGTCAAACCCGCCTCCAGGCCAAATGAGGAAGTTTGCTACATAGTTCAGGCCAGAATAGCAATTTCCAATACCACGGGCCAAAGTAGAAAGTATGTATATAGTTTGGGCCAAACTAAGGTATTAACCCCTCTTTTTATATTTTTTGTATAAAGAAAGTAAGAAGATGAATTTTTTTTTTAAAAAAATTCAGCTTTTATTTTTGCTATAATTTTTTTAATTTTATTTATATGAAGCTCATTTCCTAGAGTGTTTGTTATTTCGATTTTCTCCAACAACAACAGTGACTAAATGAATAAATGATTGTGTTGCCTTTGAGGGGAGGAGAGGACCAAGGCTGACTTTGTTGCAACATTCTCCTCGTCGACACTGGTTTCCTCATTTAGCATTCCAAGTCATAATGCTATAAAAAAGCGTGAATATGAAAGGGGAAAAATCACTACGAATAAAATGGTACAACTTTAGAAATTTTGAGAATATCAAAACTCAGAAAAATATATATTTTCAACCGAATTTAGCAATACACATTCTTCATTTTAAGATTTTTGAAGTTGCGAGATTTTGCTAGGTTGTTCTCCACAAAGCAAGCAGAGCCCTTTGTTGCCTATGTTTGCCCTAGCTTTTAGAAGTATTTTTTGGTTTCAAAAGTTGAAACAGGGTCAAACAGAACTAAAAGTTGAATTTTGAAAAGCTTAAAATGCTTTTTATAACATAAAAGCAGAAACTCCGATTTGGCGCTTTTGCGAAAAGTTGTTTTGAAAATACAAAATTATACTTAACATATTTTAATTTCATTGAAGAAAATATAATTTTCTTTCATTCATATCATCTTAAAAATAAAATAAATTATAAAATTATATTATTTAATATAAAAGAAACATAACAAGATACTGAATGGACTGCCATTATTGGCATCAAACCAATAACGATTCATACAAGCTAAATCTTCCAATTTTTTACTACTTTTTATTGTTTAGAAATTTTATTCATATTTTATATTATAAATCTTTTATAGTGATTTTACGTAATCTCTTATATTAAAAAATACTTCTACTAATTTTTCAGCCAAACACTCAACTGTTTTTTTTTAAGTGCTTCTCTAAAAACTCCAGCTAGACGCTGCTTCTGCAGAAGTTACCGTAGGGCCAAACTAGTCTGTTATCATCGTTTATGGCTGGTGGGTTACCAAGCGTTTCCTTTTCTTCCACGATGAAATAAAATGAAAGGGAGACTTTTCAGGAAAGAGATTGAGGTACCCACAAATAAAATGGGCCTTAATGCCTTATTGTCCCTGTTAAGAATCAGTTATTCTTAATCATTCGAGTTACAAGAAAATATACCGTTATGAATATTATATTCTTTACTAATTTATTTCCTCAAATTAAAACTTATTTATATGACTTTTGACATTTGCACATAATCAATTGGGTTAATACCTTATTTTGGCCAGAATTATGACCATATAATCAACTTTGGCCCGTGGTTTCAGAAATTAAAATCCTGGCCTCAACTATGCAGCATATAGACTCAATTGGCCCGACACATAGTTTGACCGTTAATTTGGACGGTCAATTCCGTTGACCGTTAGTCAACACGCCATGTCATTGCCTAGTCAGCCTAAAAATCATTAAAAAAATGCAAATTCAAATCATTTTTCTAATTTTTCTTATTTATTATCAAATTAACCAAAAATAAATTATAAAAAACATAAAATAAATTTGATTTTTTATTTTTTGGATAATTTGAAAAATGGTAAATTTTATAAGTTAACCAAAAATTATCAAATTATTTTATATTTTTAAAACTTCCCACATAAATATAATTTATATCATAATTTTAAAATTTATAAAATTTAATTTGATAATTTTTGGTTAATTTATAAAATTTATCATTTTCAAATATCCCAAAAAAATTATTTATATTTTTAGAATTTTATTTTTTGGTTAATTGGAAAATGATAAATAATAGAAATTAGGAAAATAATTTGAATTTAAATTTTTTTAATAATTTTTAGGCTTATTAGGCAATGACATGGCATGTTGACTAACGGTCAACTCCGTTGACCGTCCAAATTGACGGTCAAACTATGTGTCGGGCCAATTGAGTCTATATGCTGCATAGTTGAGGCCAGGATGTTAATTTCTGAAACCACGGGCCAAATTTGATTATATGGTCATAGTTCGGGCCAAAATAAGGTATTAACCCTAATCAATTCGAATTATTAATAGAAGTTCAGAACTTATATATGTGCTGAAGTGCATAATAATATTAATTTAGTTCACACAAGTACACGTTTAAGGGTGAACTCGTTTTCACTTTTGACCTGCTAAGAAAACTCGCAATTTGGCCAACAAGATTCAATGAGGCTTCTTCTTCTTCCTGAACAGCTCCGTAGCCATGGCTATTTCGTTTTTGGGTTTCTTTATTATAATTAAAAACACCATGCGTTGCGGGTGCCGCCTCCGCATTTAATTTACGGTAATGTTTATTTTTTATTCAAATCTTTTTCAGATTTTTTTTTATTATCCAAACCTATTAAAATGCTATTAGTTAGGCAAATCTTTCGTAATGCATCAAAATATTAGCCATTTTTATGTCACCGCTAATAATTTTATAACTATTTTCTTAGTTTAAATACTAAAATTTTGGAATATTGACCTTTATGCGTCTCTTCCAAATCAATATCATGTTGTCAAGTCAATATTAATAACAAAATTGCTAATTAGAAGTTAACATATAGCTAATTTTTTTAGTATTTCGATAGATTTGAATAATATAAAAAAAATTGAAATTTTTTTGAATAAAAAATAGAAATTACCCTTTAATTTATATCGCAATTCGCAACAACGGAATTTCATAATTCTAACATATTTTCTCAAAACAGCCTGTGAACCGACCAACCGATGACGAATTTCTTGAGCTTCTGACCCAAAATTTCCCCAAATTAAATGTTGGTGAGAGCTGAGAAGTCAGAGACGGAGGTGGCCGGTGAACCACTACGCATGACCCACCACCTTCCACCGTCGTCGTCTTGCTCCTCCGGCGGCCCCCACCGCCGTTGCGCCTTTTGGCGCCTGACATTTCTGTAGCTGTCTGGTTAAATCATAAATGTGTCCAAATTTATTGGCGGGGGAAGACCGAACGAAGATAGAGATATATATAGTTAGGATCTAGGAACGAGTCTTTTCATTCATTCACATCTAGATTTGGTAAAAGAAGTTCATCCAAAACAAATCAAATGAAAAGGAAAAAACTGAGAAGATCTGGATTGAGTGGATTCTGTTTCTCGAACATTAAATGTTTGCTTGCTGTATGTACTTGTTCTCCAACGACTGTTAGTTAGGGGAAGCCAGAGTTGATTTATTTTATTCTCTTGCAAAAAATATATTGATGAGATCTCACTGATCTGCTACCAAATCTATTTTTCTTATTGAGCAGCTGAAACTGGACAATGTAACTTATTCATCTAAGTAATAAGAATGTATGGGTAATTAGCAGAAATGGTAACAAATCTTTGCATTTAGTACAAAATGGTCACAAACCTTTAATTTGTAATAATACGGTAACAAAACTTTGAAATTGTATAAAATGGTCACCGCTATTTAATTTATGACCGTTTTGTTTTAAGTGCAAAGGTTTGTTACCTAATCGTTACAAATTAAATGTTTGTCATGTTTTGAGGTCGGGTAGTTTGTTCATTAAGTATATGACACTAACCACTTGAACGACATATAAGATGTCAGGTCATGTGTTCATCGACATATTTGCTTTGCCGAATAAGAATGCTCTCAGTTGACCTTTTAATTTCGATACCAAGAAAGTAAGAAAGTAGACAGAGTTTTTTCAACTAAAAAGCAGTCTGAAACCCGTTTGTGAGCCATTGAATTCTCTCATTGTCATCCTTTATGATGATCATATCATTCACATACATTAACAAAACCACCATACAACTAGAGTGAATTGTAACGGTGATTGAGCGTTCAAACTTTTGAACTTAATTTGTACAAAACGGTCACAAAAAGTCTAATTTGCAACGACACGGTAACAAAAGTTTGAACTGGTATGAAATGGTCACACTGTTTAATTTGTGACCATTTTGTTCTAAGTAAAAATTTTTGTTATCACATGGTTACAAATTAAAGGTTTGTGACTGTTTTGTACTAAGGGCAAAGATTTGTTACCATTTA